AAGCATCCTTGAAAGGATGCACTTCCTCAATCAAATAAATTAGCTTCGCTTTTTATTGAGTTCTTTCAAAGTATTTATTTCTTTATATTTGTAGGTGCCCCTTGATGAGAAGAAGATACACTTAAAATTTCAAGTAATTTGGATCTGTAGAAAAAAAAAAAATTTCAAGCACTGTCAGACATCTGTGATCATCAGATCAGCCCAGATTCAATCTGGAACGTTGGGCTCATATGTTCATATGAGCTAGTATTATGAACATATGAGCCCAACGTTCCAGATTGAATATGGGCCGATCTGATGATCATGGTGTCTGGTAGTAGTTGAATTTTATTTATTTTTATATAAATCCAAATTACTTGAAATTTTAGGTGTATGTTCTTCTCATCAAGGCGTACCTAATTAAAATATAAAACAAAATTATTCGTGAAAATCAAAATGACCAAAATAGCTCTTGAAAATTTTTGGGGGTATTTTGATCAATTTATTCATGTAAAATAATTTTTGGATATTTTTTAATGATTCACCTATTTTTTATGAACACTCATCTAAAATTTTAAGTGATTTGGATTTGAAGAAAAAAAAAAAATTCAAACACTACTGGACATCCGTGATCATTAGATCGGCCCATATTCAATCTGAGACGTTGGTCTCATATGTTTATATGAGCTAGTGGGCTAATTCCATCTTTTCCCATACATATATATATATATATATATATATACTCTAAACTTCATAACTTTTCAAATTACAAAGGTTAAAGATAGAGAAAGTTGTGGATCCCATATTCGAACAAAAAAAAATAATTCTTGTAAGTCTTTTGGCCAATGCAGACAATAGTGTTAAATTTGAACTCATGAAGAATAATTTGTCTTCCTTTTACTTAAAACTATTTAAACCCTCCAGAAAACCTCCTGGATGGAAGAGAAGGTGTTCTAGGCACATGAATATGTTCTTAAGAGTGGTGGGTGACATAATGTGATATTTAGAGTTTTATTTTCGATAGATTCTAAATTACTATTGAAAAAAAATATATTAAATCCCCCGCATAACACTAAGGAGCTTCACGTATGTCTTCTTTTGCTAGGAAAAAGTGGTAGTAGGGATATGGAAAATTCAATAAGAAAGGTTACTTTGATGTAAATTTTTTTTTCCAATTGATCATTGCAATCTTGAGATGCCTAGATATGATAAAAAAAAATTTATAAGACTTAAAAATAATTCATTTAGTAGTATATTATCTAGAATGTCCATTTTCAAGACTTTCAATTATTTATACATTTGATTGATCTAAACCATTTTATGGAGCTTTACACTTTATGATTACTTGTGAAAACATATTTTCAAGTCATCATAAGGGTTTATGGTTCCGAAAGGACCTCCTCTGACAAAATTTGGAGCACCTTACTTTGATTATTAATGGTGGGGTCTTACATAAGCCATGTCCTTTTTACATAGTCGTAGTACTTTCTTGTACATCTCATCTTCCCTAATGGGCGGTCTAGGTCCCAGGATACACAAATCTTCGAATTGTCTCAACCCTTGGTTTTGCATATTCTAGTATATGTAAAAACTACTTTTGAGAATAATGTTGTTTGATTGATTGCTGGAAGAACCCAATATATGAAAAATACTGTATTTGGCACCATGAAGATGAAAATCAAGTTTTGCTTGTTCTTAGTTAATGTAGTTTAATCGTTCATTTTATAAGTTGATGATTCCCTAGTAATACATAGCCAATAAAAAATATTTTTTGATAATAATTAGGCTGTTCGGATCATATTTTTCCTTATTTTTATAGGTTGAAGTTTTTGCATATCCAGAAAAAAATGACAAGACCCGTACTCCAAAGCTCATTGCATATCTTTGAATCTTTTTCTTGATTCATATGGACAATCTCTGCATATACTTCCAATTATAAGATATGTGTAGCTTCACTTTATAGAACTACAAAATCAGCTCAATTTATTTTTCTCTGCAACAAGAACTAAAACAAAGTCCAACAGCCTTTGAGTGATGTATGAATATATCTTAATTTTTGCTAGGATTTTCTTCCCATTCACCGTCTCAGTTAAGAATAATATTAGGTAACTCTATATTTACCATAGAAAAACATGAATAGGGGGAAAAAAAAAAATTTGCATAAAACAACATTTGAATAGGGGAAAAAATGGCAGAATGATTTTTTGTGTTGGTCGAGCATCTCAATGGGAGGTGAGCAAGAGTGGAGAAATGGTCCAGGCAGGAGTACGTAATGGCGTAGGGAAGATAGAGAAGATGAAAATGGGAGAGTTTCTATCATTGGGAGGCATCAATAACGAAAAAAGCTCGGTTTTTCCAATTCTGATATATGTTCAATCTAGGGTTTTTGTTTTTCTGAAACGAGCCTATACTCATTTTAGGTGCTTTTAAAGATTAGCAAAACCTAGTTTTGAAAGTCAAAATACATCCAAACAACCCAACAGGTTCCAAAACTAAGATATCTAAAAACAGGTTTTGCTAATGATAGGTCTCAAATGACCCAAAAAGATGACTTTATTTTTTGAAAAATGCTATTTTGAAAACTACATCTTCCAAAGAACTGGATATTATAAATTTTATGACCACTCATTGAACTTGCCTTATTCACATTTTAATTTTAAATTTAAAACAAGTGGATACCGCAATATCCACTTTTAGTACAACACTTTCCTATGATCAAATACAAAAGTGCGACATTACTGGAATTGCAGTTTTGAAAACACACACGCCCTAATACTAACCCTCGTTAAGCATCTCCAAACTTACCGCTGGTACGAGACTTCCGTCAAGCTTGACTTGGGGTCGTTGGAGTATTTATTAGTATTCATTGTTCTTAGTGGCCAATTACAATGTATATGACTTTTGAAGAACGTTCAAAAATAAATTTTTGGCTTTAGTAGTATTCGTGGACCTTAAGTATCAGTAATAAAAAATGAGGAGGACCGCACCAAGCTACATTTTAGATAATTATGTAAATATTATATATTTAAACATTGACATATTATTCTTGGGATTCTCCATGGAGAATCGCCTACCGCTCAATCCTTATCCCATTAAGGTCAATGTGAGTTGAATTGTCTGTTGGATATAGTCGTTATCCAAAATCACTCGTAAGGAAATCTCATATTATGTAGGATTATGAATGATATTGATAAGATGTTGGGGTTTTTTCACACCAGTTAGACCTAATGTATTTTTTTTTACATCGATTAGCAGTTAGTTGATGTGAAAATACTCTCATACTTAATGATTTTTTAGAGTTTTTTATATGTGAAAATAATTCTTACCAAATATATCATCCGTCTTTCTAAAAAAAGATTGTAAAATCCGGATGGACTCTCTAAGTTAAATGTTATAAGTTTTTACGTGGGATAATGGTTTTCACATATTTAATCCTTTGCTCAGCTCTTACAAGGCTGCATCATTTTCTTCCCTCTCAATTCCCTTGAAAGAGACGATTTGTACAATCGGCATACGTGAATTGACGTTTATATGTGTTGCCAGGACTTAGCACTTCAAAATGCCGTAGAAAGTTTGTTAGTTCAAAATTCAAAGCAATGTTTTAAAAATCGCTTTGGCTAAAATATCTGGCATTTGGTCAAGGTGAGTAAACTTGGCTGAGTTATGTACACCTAATAATGTAAAAAAGTAAAAAAAAAAGAGCAAAATATTTTTAAAAAATAGTTTAAAAAAAAAAGGTTATAAAAATCATTTGAAGAATAAAAAAAGACGAAAAAAATCTATAAAAGATATATATTATTGAACAATTTAATTTATGCCTTAAATATAATAATAAAAAATTTAAAATTTGAAATTCACAAATCATGTAAAACCTGTTTCTAGCATAATGATGATTTCCCAATTTATATTATATTTTTAACTTCTTTTTTTAACTTTCTTAGCAATTTCTTTAGTGTTTGGAGAGTTAGGCACCCGACTCTACTTGCCAATAGAGACGAGGTTGTGTCGGTCACGTCCGAGCACACTCAGCCCGGTCCAAAAACATCATTGAAAGGATGCACTTCCTCAATCAAATAAATTAGCTTTGCTTTTTATTGACTTCTTTCAAAATATTTAATTTTAATGCAACTTAGATGTTTAAAATCCTAAATTTAACTTGAAGTATGCTAATACTTCAAAAACTTTCCAATTAATTATTTATATTGTCTCAATTTTCAATAATTTTCTATAACTATTATTATTTCTTAAATTTAATTTTTTTTCTGACTTGGATTCTTGATCAAGGGAGGGAAAGAGATATTTAAATAAGGAAAAAGTTTATATAAGGTTGCAACCTTATAATGTTGAGCTACGGATGCACCTCAAAAATCCATCGGAAAAGTTAGTTTTAATGTTGAAAATCCCTTTGATTGATCATTTCGACATCGAGATGTATGATCATGAAAAATAAAGATTTTAAGTATCAAAAATAGTGATTTTACAACATATTATCTACGCCATCCATTTTCAAGATTTTCATATGTTTATAGATCTACTTGATTTTAACTATTTTTGAAATTTAAAATTTTATAATTCGATATAAAAATAAATTTTAAAATAATCTTAAAAACCCGTTACGGATGCATCGGTATGCAAACCGCACCCTTTTTAATAATTGATTTGCTCTGAAGTCATATTCTAGCATAAATTCTTGCTTTAGTTTTTCACCCTTTAAATAATTGATTTGCTCTGAAGTCATATTATAGCAGAAATTCTTGCTTTAGCGTTTCAAGAAAGAAAATGAGAAAATTAAAACCAATGTTAAGAAAACTCAAAACTTGCCATCCTATTTATTTTTCCATGGTAATCTACATATATTTGAATGGATTCTATGGAATTACAGAAGGAAAGACGAACATCTCTCTCTCTCTCTATCCCACTCTTTTCCTCTAAGACAAACATATTTCTCCCTCTCTCTAAAAAAAACTAAACAAGAACTTCTCTCTCTATTTGTACAAAAAAAAAAAAAGACATCTCTCTCTCTAACCAGATGAGAACTCATTTCGGTTGATACGCCACCATTTTCTCTCGAGAAAACAGACCAGGAGCCGTGTTCCCACCATAAGAACAGCAGCACAAACAAGCACAAACCCTATGACCACAAGCTTGTTCCCTATCTCTCTTCCCTCCACACCGACTTTCTCACTCCTCGCCACGCCGCCTCCACCTCTAACGAACGTCGACCGCCACCCTTCCATGTCCGTCAATCCATACTTCAAAGGTTCACTCATTTTGGTACACTCACCCTTCACATACACAACAGCTCTGCATACACAATCCTCAGAGCAAGACTTTGTGCACTCGGTCTTGTTAACATTGAGTATCTCACAACCCCTGCTAGCCCACACCGTGTTTTTTAACTCGGTCATCGACTCTCCCAAGTCACTAGATTTTCCTACCGAGTCTAGCATTTTGCACCCTTCAGTGGGGTTTCCTGGGTGGGTGTAATCGAACCCAGGTATGCAGAGGCATTTGGGCTCGTCAGAATCGCCTAAGGTGCAGTACCTATTGACCCCACAAACCCCCTTGATTTTGCATTGATTTTTGAGAGCCGACCATATGATGGTCACCGAATTTTTACCTTCTTTTGCAAAATTGTGTTGATAAATCCTCAAATTTCCATCAATGTCTAGTGTTGCTCTCAGCATAAAATCATGGCTATCTGAAAACTTAATTCCGGGGGCATTAGAGATGAGTTCAAGAGAGAGCCTACGCAAAGGGATTGGGAAGGTAAGCAATTTCCAGTAGATGTCTTCAGTTGTGGCTATTGAATTGGGGTTCTCCATGGCATACAGGACGAGCAACCCTGATTTGCTTAATCCAAGCCTAAACTTTCCAACTGAATGGTTGGTTTTAGAGGAACTTGAAGCTAGCATTTAACCTGGTAAAAGAACTTGGCCTGATAAAATGGTATCGGTAGGAGAATCGAAGCTTTGCCATATGGTCATAGATTGGGAATTGTGTAGAACCAAATTTCCGTTATCGAGTAAAGCAGCTGAAGATGCTGGTTCTGGGTTATCTGAGATGGGTTTCTCTTGGGCTTCACTGTTTCTCAAAAGGAGGACTCCATTACTGGCTAAGATGATAGAAGAGCCATTAGAGAGAGGAGGAGAGTCTCTATTTGCTGACCAAACCAGTGTTTTTTCAGGGGTTTTAGGCATCCATATTCCTACTATGAAATTTTGTGGATCAGAGAGAGGGTAGAAAAAAAAGGAAAAGCTACCAGAAGGGGAGAGCCAGAAGCTCTTATTGTGACCGATTTGGGTTGTAGAGAGAGAAAATCCAAGGCCTATTTGAGTACCAGTTGGTGACTCAGTTTGGGCAGATGAGAGAGAAAGAGTGGCGAGGAGTTGCAGGAGGAGGAGATAGAGGGGTGGCGCCATTGTAGTGAGTGAGTGAACCTGTTTCTTGAGTTTCGATCGAAACTGGAAATATTAATTAGGAGGGTAAAATGGTGGGGTTTACTGGCGTATTGCCTTGTCGAAATTAAGAGCGTAGAACGACCATGACTTGGGTCAATTAACGCTCATATTACGCCAGCACAACAAAAATCGGGCTCGTCAACTCGGACTTGTCCTTTTTAAGTTGTGTTTTCTGATTTGGGGATTCTAAAAGAGCATTTAAAAATAGTGCGGTTTGTATAAAGCAAGGCTCTAACCATTCAAAGTAAAGGATATCGAGAAATGTGGTTTCAATACTTGAAATCTTTGCAACAACTTGAAAATATATTTTTATATTTAATTATAAAATTTAAAATTTGAAAAATAGTGTAGATCAAACATATTTATGAAAATTTTAAAAATAACGATCCAAAAATACGTTATATTTTCAAAACTTGTAATTCAAATTTTTTGTTTTTTATGTCTATACATCTTGATGTTGAGATGATCAATTTGAGGATAATTGGGCATCAAAACACCTCGTCTAGTTAAATTTTTGAGGTGGGCTCCAATTTGATTGTTTAGAGCTTGGGCACTTTATAAATTTCTTCTTTTAAAAAAAGGGTGCGGTTTCTATAGAGCCTAGGATCTAAACAATCAAATTATAGCCCGCCTTTGAATAGTATTGAGAAATGTGGTTTCAATACTGAAAATCTTTGTGATAACTTTAAATTATAATTTCATCTTTAATTATAAAATTTAAAGTTTAAAAATAGTGTAGAATCAAGCATATCTATGAAAATTTTAAAATTATTTGATTGTTTAGAGCTTGGGCACTTTATAAATTTCTTCTTTTAAAAAAAGGGTGCGGTTTCTATAGAGCCTAGGGTCTAAACAATCAAATTATAGCCCGCCTTTGAATAGTGTTGAGAAATGTGGTTTCAATACTGAAAATCTTTGTGATAACTTTAAATTATAATTTCATCTTTAATTATAAAATTTAAAGTTTAAAAATAGTGTAGGTCAAGCATATCTATGAAAATTTTAAAATTAACTATCCATAAATACGTTATATTTTCAAAACTTGTAATTCAAATTTTTTGTTTTTTATGTCTATACATCTTGATGTTGAGATGATCAATTTGAGGATATTTGGGCATCAAAACACCTCTTCTAGTTAAATTTTTGAGGTGGGCTCCAATTTGATTGTTTAGAGCTTGGGCACTTTATAAATTTCTTCTTTTAAAAAAAGGGTGCGGTTTCTATAGAGCCTAGGCTCTAAGCAATCAAATTATAGCCCGCCTTTGAATAGTGTTGAGAAATGTGGTTTCAATACTGAAAATCTTTGTGATAACTTTAAATTATAATTTCATCTTTAATTATAAAATTTAAAGTTTAAAAATAGTGTAGATCGAGCATATCTATAAAAACTTGAAAATTGATGGCTCAAAAATGCGTTACAAGATGCACCATTTCCAAAAGTTGAAATTCATTCGTTTCTAATGTTCATGCATCTTGATGTCAAGATGATCAATTCGATGATATTTGGGCATCAAAACAACTTCTTCTAGTGAAATTTTTTAGGTGGGCTCAAATTTGATTGTTTAGAGCCTTGGCTCTATATAAACTTTTTCCTTAAGGAAATTATGAAAGTTCTAAAAAATAAGAAATTTGTTTGTAGTATATTTGTTTTATATATTTTCTATCAGTTTTGCAAATATTGAAATTTGTTTTGGCTATGAACATTTATTTTTATATTTTTCCTTGCTTTTTAGATTATTCCATCACAAATTTATTTTTTTAAAACCCATTTTTTCACTACACTTTTACCTCATTTAGATATATTTTGTTTAATTTTACTTTAAATATATTTTTCTTATATTTTAAGATTTTTTGTATTTTTTAGCACTTTTTGGCTTGCCAAGACCCCGCCTGACTCTGCTCGAGTAACTCGAACTTACCCTTAGTTACTCGGCTCAGGTATGCGGCAAGTCCCATCCTCGAATCACTTTTATACAATATCGCATACACATTGTAATATTCGGGTCCGGGTCCAGGTCTGGGTCTGGGTCTCGGTCCCGACCTATACCCGGACCCATTGCCAACCCTACGCTGGGAGATACGATCTATGTACGCCCTTGAGCGAAAGAGCTATAAGGGATTTTGCTTCAAAGAATCACATACATTTGATTGTTCAAGAAATGTATCGTCTTTGCTCAATTTTAAGACATTATTTTTTGTAGACACAGTTTTCTTTTCTTTCTTGCCCTTTTTTGGGTTGGTCTCTGCGTTGAAGAGGTCACATCCAAAATCTCGGATTCTTAAAATACGTGAAAAGTGCTATGAGGAAATGCCCCTGTGGGAGCACACAGTGTTTTGACTGGTTCAACACCGTCTTTAATACGATGCTTATTTGCTCTTTGAGTGCCGTTTCTATAAGGTTGCAACTTTAAACAATCCAATTACGCGCATCTCAAAATTTTATCATAATATATAATTTTGTTGTAAAAAAATCTTAAGATTATCTTAAAATCTATTGTCATATCTAATTATAAAATTTTAAATTTTAAAAATGGTTAAAATCAAGTAGATCTATAAATCTTGAAAATAGACGGTCTATCATAATCTTGAAAATAGACGGTCTATCATAATCTTGAAACTAGACGGCAAGATGCACTATTTTTGAGACTCAAAAAATCTTTTTTTTATATTCATACATCTCGATATCGAGATGATCGATTAGAGGGTTTTCAACATTAAAATAACATTTCCGATAGAGTTTTGAGGTGCACCTCTGATTCTACATTTTAAGGTTGCAACCTTATATAAACTTTTCCCTCGCTCTCTTATCATGTAAATCCTCATAAACTCTCAACCTCAATCTATTTTCCATGCAATAATGGTCTCACAAGCTAAAGTGAAAGATTCAAATTAAAGATGGATCGTCGCTCGCCATTCAAAAAATTGGAAAAATTATGGATACCCCCGGAATTTACTTTTCAGACATCCAACTCTGTAACATTTTTCATATCACACCTTTAACCTAGTTAATGTTTTTCTTATGTTTTCATCTTGTCAAAAAGTAAATATGTTAAAGACTAAACATCCCTTTCAATCCTCTCTTGGTCTCTCTTCCTTCCTCCCCCTCTCTCTCTCTCTCTCTCTCTCTTTCTCTCTCAAAATGGCAAAAGTGCAGTTCAGGATAAAAGTGTGTCGGACTGGTAGCGAGGCTAACAGTATCGGTCTGGCACACTTTTGTCCCAAATTACTTTTTTCATTGTTTTTACCACAGTCCGGCAAAAAAATGTGCTAGACTAGAAGAACATGGAAACAAATGCGGTCCAATAGAAAATGTGCCGGATCAGCTTGAAGCTGGAAGGAAGAAGCTGGTCTAGCACATTTTATGCCGGATGGCATCTTTTGCCATGTTCTTTCAGTTTGGTACACTTCTTGCGAGACCTGGCAAAAACAATGAAAAAGTGTGGTTTGGCACAACTTATTTACTCTGAGAGTGGTTAGCGGCAGGCCTAGGAGTTTGTAGACTCCACCTCCGCATGGATGCTTAAGCTAAATTTTGATGGTAGTTCACTTGGAGATTCAGGTTTGGCTGGCTTTGAGAGAGTTTGTTCGTAATTGGAATGGTCATATTGTATTTGCATATGTTGGGCCTTTAGGTGAAGCAGCTGCAAATCACACTGAAATGTATGCCCTTTTTCATGGTTTGAAAATTTTTTGCAACAAGAATTTTGGTAACTAGTGCGTAGTTAAAGGGGACTCTCTGAATGTCATTAGTTGTGCATAAGAGGACAAGGGGTGCCCTAGGAGCTTAAAACAATTTGGTTACATATAAGAGTGCTCTAGGGGCTCAAAACAGTTTGGTTGCAGATAATTGACTTGACCGAATAGCTGACTATTTCTTTTGTGCATATCTTTTGGGAAGTAAACTCATTAGCTAATGTTTTAGTTAAGGAGGAGAGGAGCTTCTTTGCATTCGCTTTCCATTTATGATGATGTAATCTTACTTGGGTATCTCCTTACTATAATAAATAAAAATAACATTTGTCAAAAAAAACAGGTGTAGTCTAGCACAAAAGTGTGTCGGACCACACTTTCTCATTTCGAGAGATCGAGAGAAAGAGAGAGAAAGAGAGAGATCAAGCAGGAAGAGAGAGATATCCGGCAAGAAGAGAGAGATCGGGTGGAGAGAGAGATATCTAGCAAGGAGAGAGGGATCAGGTGGAGAGAGAGAAAATTGAAAGGGTAATTTAGCCTTTAACATTTTCCCCTCCCTTAACCTACTCATTAAATCTCTCTTTTTCTCTCACCCCTGCCCTTTTTTTCTCTTCCCTCCCCACCCTTTTTTTCTCTCTCCCTCTCTCTATCTACCCTCTCTCTCTATATCTCTCTCTCTCCCTCCCTGCCCAATATCAGTTTCTCTCTTTGCCCAATATTAATCTCTCTCTCTCTCTGATTAACATCCATATCTCTATTTCTCT